AGATCACATAATCTACAGTCACTCTTCAAGACCTTCCATCTGCACAAGACAGATGAACAAACAACACGCTTCCATGCTGGCAGTGCTCTCTCTGCAGTGACCTCAGGATGACAATGGAGTTTTCAGTTTACTGTTAGGGAAGAAAAGTTCTAGAGCTTCAAGGTGTCAGTTTCCATAGTTACAGCCCACCAATTTGTTGTTGAGTAAACAAGCGTGGGTTAGTGTGTCTGTCACTTGGTTAGTGTGTCTAATTCAAACTGAGGGGAAACTACAAGTAGGCTGAATTTCTAGTCTTCCTCTGACCTCCACAATCCCCACACTGAATGGCAGCTCCCTGTGCCTTTCACACCCTCAGAGGCTCACACCAGTGAGCAGATATTGTCTGATGGTTTGTACACGTCTAGTTGAACACTGTGCAGTGCTACTTGCCGAAATGTGGGAAGTGTTCTGTGCGGGTGTTGCTCAGTGTGATAACTACAGTCATTAGCAGGTGCTCGGAATTAACTGATATGAGGCAAGAACTTGCTTTTCTATTTCATTTAAGCCCAATTCTGTCTAGTTTAAATGCAAATACAGAACCAAATGAGATGACCCAACTCTCCCTGGGAACAACTAACATCACTTTTTTTTTTCTTGTCAGACCAAGAGTCTGTGGTTATCTACAGTGTAGATTTTACATGGACCATTCCAAGCCTTCTTAATTCAATTACAGTAACTGAAATGATTTCTAATGCACACTGCCTCCTAGGGGTTAGTCCATCATTGCCCTAACCTTTACCTGTAGGCATTTTTTTAGGCTTCCATTCTGTGGCACACCATGGACCTAAGGTTTGGGACCCTCCACTGGCACTATCAACAGACTGTCCAGTCACTTCCTAACCTGCCTGTCACTCCTGTACTAGGCAGACAATCCTGGGGAAAGCAGTCTTCCAGTCACCTCCTAAAACTCAGCCCCATAATTCCTCACAGCTTACTAGTTTGAGGGTACTTTAGATTATATATATATATAAGAGAGAGAGAGAGAGAGAGAGAGAGAGAGAGAGAGAGAGAGCCTGGATTTTCTTTTCTGCCCAGGGAAGTTAGCCCACATTACTTGTCTACAACACCATAAACTTTCTATTTATTTGCCCAGAGCACTCACTATGGCTATTTTCTGATTATTCTGATGCCACAGGTTTGAGGTACAGCTTTGCAAACTCAACATCCCGGTTCACTCCAAGTCAGTTTTCCTGCTTGTGGGGTGAGAAGGGGCTTTGACTGGCCCACACCTTCCTGAGGGTGGACATCCCTTTAGCATATCAGATTCTCACTGGATGCCCTACTGTCAGCATGCTCTGGGTTTTGACTCTCCATACTGTCAAACCATAATTCAATTCCAATAGGATCAGCAAATGTCCTCCAGGCTGCCCAACCTCAGATTCAGTTTTCTCTTGGAGATTTAGGTTCAGTGCACTGCTTCCCCAGGGCCTTCAGATCTCTTGCACACTTAAAATGATGCACTTTTTTTTGCACATAATTCATCACTCTAGGTGTTTTCCATGGGAAGTCTTGTTATATAAAGCAAGTGCTTCCTCCTGGGTTAGTGTCCACCCAAAAGAAACAATGTAAGAGAAATATAGATGGAAATGTCTGTCCTCCCTGGTCCCACAGCCGTTTAGACCCAAATAAACACATAGAGGCTTATGTTAATTATAAACTATTTGGCCAATGACTCAGGCTTCTTATTGACTAGCTCTCTCTTAATATCAACCCATTTCTATTAAACTATGTGTTGCCACAAGGCTGCGGCTTACCTGTAATGCTTCAGCATGTTACTCCTTTGGCAACTACATGGTGTCTCCCTCACAGCTCCTCTCTCCTTCCTCTTCCCAGAATTCTTCTAGTCTGGCAGCCCTGCCCATACTTCCTCCCTGACTACATCCTGCCTGTCCATTGGCTGAAACAGCTTTATTCATCAACCAATAAGAGAAACATATATTCACAGCATACAGAAGAACATTTCCCATCAGAGAAAGAAGGCTCATTTTGGTCCACACTTTCAGAGGCTATATCTATGGTCACCATACTGTGTACCTTGTTTCTGGCTGTGGCCAGGCCAACTGTCTTAGAGTGTGTCTTAGGGTACATGCAGCAGTTAGGAAGCAAAGAGAGAGAACATGAGAGGGGACCAGGGACAAGTTATACCCTACTTTTAGTAGTGGCCTGTCCTTTGCAACAAGGTTTCACATCCTGGAGTTTCCATAACCGCTCCATAATGCTATCATCTGGCACTAAGCATTTAGAACATAGTCATGGGGTGTGGGACCGGGGAGTCCAAATAGAAATTCATTGCCTGACATGTAAGAGCTGCAGAGTAAATGTGCTCCTGCTGCAACAGGGGATCAGTTGAAATCATTGTGCTTTCAGAGATGCGGGCTCTTGTCATAAAGTAAAAGAAATCACCTCTACCGTCTGACCAGAGGATCTGGGCTCGGCACCAGAAGTCAAGGACAAGCACAGTAGGCGCTCTTCCTGAGTTAGAGCTCTGGGCTCCCTATGCTTAGGCCCAGGCATCTGCTAAAAAGCATGCATTCCTGTGGCTGAACCCAACCACCAGTTGTGTACTTAGCATCTAAAAGGCATTTACCTACCCTATTTTAAAAGATAGTGAGCCATTTTCCCAGGCAAAGGACAATACAAATGACATTTCTAGCATGAAGAGCTGGGAGCTTCAGCTTCTCCATCCCTGGTAAACTGCCACTTCAGAGATTTCATCTAGTGACACTTGGGAAGTGCTCTTGCAGGAGAGCTACAGCTGCGGCTGGCTTTTCCTGCTAGGTCCCATGACACCCCCACCCCAGCTTCATTTATAATTGTGGGGTTCTTTGGATTGATTTATTAAGAGTGCACATGCCCTAGCTCATGTGTGGAGAGCAACTTGTGGAAGTTGGCTCTCTCCTACTTTGTGGGTTCCAGGAATCAAACTCAGGCAGTCAGGACTTGGTGGCAGGAGCATTAACCTGCTGAGCCATCTCACTGGCCCCTGTTCCTCTTTTAAGACATCTATTTTATAGACAAAAAGAATCCCTGTTTTCTCTAGGGCAGACTCAGAAGGCAGGGTAGTGTTACTGTCAGAACCATGTCACTGTGACAGTGCTTATGAAGACTTGACTCTCTCTGGGGTAGAATAAAGAGCTGCTGTGTGCCTCTCTGGGTATTCGGTCAAGTAGAGACTCAAATTCATTGAGTGCAAGTTGTCTTTCTAGGAACAGAAAGGCCCCTCTACGGCTGGTGTCCTTTCTAAAGCTAATCTGCCCTGCCCCTGCTTGAGTCAGAGCATGGTGATCATCTGTAGGTGTCTGTTCTTCAGTAAGCCCAAAAGAGGACTTCATTATAGACACCCAGGAATCTCACAACTGTATCTTAGAGATAGACCGAACCTATGTAAAGATTGTAGGTCCAAGGGCTGAAGAACATCCCAGAATTCACTCTGTACCCACTCCTCTCCATGACTCTCCCCATGTACCCTCACAGATGGACTGTGAGTGTCTCTGGACCCCACGGTAGGAAACCGCTGCCCAGAGCCATAGAGCCAGAGTTGATTTCTCCCCGTATTGCTTTCCTTTTTCATGAGGTTAAGATCACGACAGAATTCCTCTCATTCTTTATTAATCCACTTAACCATTGCCTTTCCTGAGGCCCCCCACTTACTAATTGTGGGCAGGGTCTCATGCCTCCTCCGTGAGAATGGAAATGCCTTGAGAGGAGGAGAGTGTCCTCTTTCTCCTGGTACCTGGCAACATAAATACCTGCTAAGGAAATTCCTGATGAATCCCTCCCCAGATCCACCCATGAAACATGCCTGGCTTAAGGTATATGTGTATGTCCCAGTATCTTCATTTTCCATTAGTTCTCAGATTTTTGTACAGTACTTTTGGACCTTATTCACCCCTTCTTCAAGCTCCTCCCAGACCCACGCCAACTTTGTACCTATTTTTGAATTCACCTACCTCTGCCAAGCTCTGTCTAGACTAGGCAGCCATGGCTTCTTCATCTCCTCATCCTCTAATCCAGATGTGACCACATGAAGAGGCAGTGGTGGGAAAGGTCTGGGCTTGGGAATCTGGAAGGACTAAGCTCTAGTTTGAGCTCTGCCACTCCGTAGCTATGAGACTTTGGGCAAGTTGCTGAGCAGCCTGATTGAAAAGCAGGTGGACAGTACCTCTCCCACTGATATCCTCAAAGACTGCCTGAAGAGCCTATTGCCGTGCAGGAATGAAGTAGGCTTTGGAGAAATGCTGCCGTCTTGCCAGTATGCTTATAGCTCATGCATGGAACATGTGTTTGTGTGTGTCACGGGTGTTTCTAGTTTGTGTGGGTGAGATGGAATGTGCAGGGAGGGAAGAAAGTGTTCTGAGTCATCTATCTGCCCATGTGTCTTTAGAGCAACCTAGGCCTCATCCACCTGAAAACATGAGGTCACATTAACAGTCACACCTAAAATGCCACCACTTCCTGCCCACCTGTATACATCAGAACCTCCTAAGTCCCACTCTCAGGTGTTTTGAAAATTCTTCAAGGAAACCTTAATGGCACGGCCATGGTCCAAGCCAAGAGCATATCATTCCCATGGTTACCAATCCTCAGGGTGGGCAACAAAGGATACTCAGCAATCTGCCTTTGGCCAGAATTGTACAGTGTACCTTCTGAAGCATTATCTCTACAATCTGGTTGTGCTTCATTCACCCTGGTGTTTACCATTAGCACAGCTAGTGACCCTACTACCCTAGCCCAGCATCAATGAAACTTTCTCCGTGCAATGGCCTGTGTGGACAAGCAGGATCTGGGGGAGGGGTCAGCAGGTGGGGATTATTCCTGCTGTTCATCTCTACATGAACCTCTTGTAGACACTGGGAAAGTTTTGAAGCTAGTTAATCCTCCTGGTCAGCTCCCTGTCCTCCCCTTCTTCCTGGGAATAGAAGCTCTCAATTTCTACCTTCGCTCAGTACCCAAGATGTCTGCGCCCACAGGGAGGCATCCGTGACACCACTGACAAACAAGAAGTACATCCTGAGGTTCCCAGCACTGGAGACCCTGATGCTGGATGACAACAAACTATCCAATCCCAGTTGCTTTGCCAGCCTGGCTGGGCTCAGGAGGTAATGCCATAGCGCCCCCCCCCGCCCCCTGCACCATCCCTGATCCAGTGGGGCTCACACCCTGAGTGCTGCATTCAGGCTCCACAGCCTGGGGTGAAGTTCCTCCTCCACCAGTATCTCTGCTGCATGGCCTTGGGCAAGGTAGTTCTCTCTCTGAGCTTAGCTTGGCAGAGAAATGCAACATCAGTAAGGTTATTTCTGGTAATGTGTAGGACTAGCCATTACCAAAGGGTGGAACCCTTGACCCTGAAAAAGAAGACAGGAAACCCCCACACCCCCACAAAAAAAGAACACAGGGAACTTTAGCTGCCAAGTTCTACATATTTGACAAAGATCTTTAGAATATTTCAATTCAGTTACTATTTGCCAAATACTACTTTGTGCCCAGCTATTTACATATTGTCTTATTTAGTCTTCATGGAACCTTAAAGATTAGTAAACTTATTACCATTAGCAGTAAGGCCATTGAGCCCCCCAGAGAAGGTAAGTCCCCCTGCATCTCAAAGTTATACAACAGGTGTCCATGTCCAAGCCTAATCCAGGTGTGTGCCCCAGCTTGCTCAGTAGCTAACACCCCAGAGGTAACATCACTGCTGTGATTCTGAATTTACTTTCCTTGATTGAAGACTGAAGAAATTGAGCCTGGATCAAAACAAGATTTTCCGGATCCCGTACCTACAACAGGTTCAGCTCCGTGATGGATCGGGGGACTGGGTTACAGAGGGGCCGAATCCCCAGAAAGAGCTACAGCCCCAGACGTGGATATTTGAGACCCCAGATGAGCAACCAAATTATACTGTACTGCCCATGAAGAAGGACGTTGACCGCACAGGTGAGCCATGCCCTTTGCCCTCGATGCTTGCTCCATCAGGAAGTAGGCTTTGGGAGCTGTTTCTGGGAGTTCTTGTATTCTAAATGAACTGCTTAGACTCCCTAACCAGTTCTGTTAGGTGAGATGCCTTCCAGCTCCAAATAAAGTGGGTATTTTTGTAAATCCTATATATTAAGAAACTCAGAAGTCAGGAAAGCCTGTGGCATATCCATGTCCTCAAGGGCTCCAGGCCTTTCCATCCTTCTAGTTTGCCTGCTTGTCCTGTTAAGCTGGTTCCTACTAGGTTCTCAGGATGGCTCAACAGTTTCAAGAGTCACATCCACATGGCATCCTCCCGACACAGAAAGGAAAGACGTGTTACCATGTTGTAAAACCAAGCGGGGTAATAGAGGAGCACATGTCTGGGTTGGGCATACATTGTTCCAGTCCCACTGAGCTAGTAATGTTACTATGCATCTGCCACCTGTCTGTTGAATGTTCAATTGGGGGAAATAACTAAGAGCAGGTGAAGAACAGAGCTCTTGTGCAGAGCTTGACGTTTTAGATTCATCCCTTACCCATCACTCCCATCACAATCCAGAACCTTCCCAGTATCCCAGTGGGACCTTCGCAATATGTACCTCCTCCAAGAGTAACCACTTTGTCTGTTTTGGAGCTCATGTCCAGAGCTGTACAGCATAGACTATGTGCCCAGTTTCTTCCACTCAGCGTATGTCACTGGGTCCATTAATGTCACTGTATATGTCTTTCCCCCTGCTCTTATTCACTCCATGTATACCACAAGCAAAGGAGCCCCTTCTCTGTGGTCAAAGCCCTTCTCACTGCAGCCACCTCCTTGACATTGCCTTATAGACTGGCTGTTGGCTGCATAAGCCTTTCCCAGTCCCTGCTAGACTGCCACCTAGAGAACTGTTCAATGTGAGTGTCGTTCTCCTACTCCTACTGCTTATTTTCCTGTGACCTTTCTCATCGTATCACAAACATGAGGGAAGGGCCCAGGCACCAGTGCAGGAGAGTGCTGCCTGCCCAGGATGCAATCCTGCAGGTGCTCTGCCTCCGTCCCTCGGTTAAACTCAGCTATTGATTGGCTCCTCTCAGTCCAGCAGCCCCCAGGATGAACTCTTTCCACAGCCTCTTCCCTACATCAGCTGTTCTCAGCTCCTCAGATGGGATGTCTCTTCTATACTTTTATAAGACAGCTGGTCAGCGTTCTGCTCCACACAGGCTCCCCAACAACATCCAGCTAAAAAGAGCTTGCATGTTGCAAAGTTAGGATGAAGGTCCGTGTGACTGAACACTGAGTGAGCTTCAGAAGGGCAGCGTGAGCTGAGGTGGGATATGATGGGAGAAGTAGACAGGGGACCGACCAGGGACTGGAACCTGTGTGGGATGCAGTAGAGCACACAGTGGGGAAGATGCCCATCCCTGACCCCTCTGAGGTCAGTATTCTCACAACCTTTCCTCTGTTTGTTGTTTCAGAGGTTGTGTTCTCATCTTACCCTGGATTTTCAACCTCAGAGGTAGGAAGAACTGCTACTTCACATTTGTTTGTACCATTTGATTTTGTCAACAGAGAAGACTGGTTTTTGTCTCAGGGCAGAGCGCACTAACCAAGCTCACAGAGAGGGATACATGTAGACTAAATACTGATGCATCCATTTGCAACAAGATGTGCATCTCCACACCTATCCAACCCATATCCCTGAAACATAAGCCACCTCCTCATAGATATGACTGTGTGAGCAACTGTATCAGTTCACTACAGCTGCACAACAGAACCAGCAACCACTGACTGATTTCAGTTCAGTTGATTACTTCCCAAAGTGACTGGAGCTAGCAAGGTGGTTCTGCTGGTTTTTCAGGCCAGCTGGGAGCAACACTTCAAAGGATATGGTGTGTGCCCTGGCCTCTCTACAACATCTTTTCATCCTGGTCTTAACAACAGAGCAGTATCAGGTCTCAAGAGAGCAAGCACTCGAGGAAGAAATGTGAAATTCAAACGTGCCACATTAATTCGAGGGACAGGATGACATTAGAACACAGTGCTGACACTAACCAGCCCAGAGGTTAAGGCCCAGTCTGGGGATATAGTTCCTCAGAAAACTGCCCTCATGTCAGGTACCAGTCATGAAGGAGAGAGGAGACAGTAAGCTCTCCACACAGTGACCAACTAGCTATAAATTTGGGAGTCCCCACAGCCCCCCCTGAGGTTCAATAATTTTCTTTAACTCAGAGAACTTGAGAAAGTGTCATGCTCAAATAACTGCAGTAGTAATATAAACGACAAAAAATTGAGGCTAGCAAAATGAGAAGACTCATAAGGTGAGATCTGCAGGGTCCTACCTGCAAAACTTCTGCACCCTCCTCATGGAACCTGGATTCCCACCCTCCCAACATGTTCATGTACTTACCAATCAGGGAGCTCTCCTGAGCCTCCATGTGCAGCTTTTGTAGAGGGTCTTCTTAGATGCCTGTTTGAGCTCAGAGTCCCACCCTTCAACTGGGTCTGACTAGCACCCCCACCCATCCCAGACAGCCCATCACATAGGAAATTCCCGGGGCTTTAGAAGCTCAATGCCAGGAGTCTGAGGCAGAAACCTCATAAATTCCTCACCATAAGGCAGCCAGTCTAGTTTTAGGAGTGTAGAAACAGCAGCTGCTCATTTAAGTGGGGGCAGTATCAAGGGTCACATTGCAAAAGGACACTCATACTGGTTGGAAGGGCCTGTGGCTAGGGATGTACATTGGAAATCAGTGACAGTTGGCAGGATTTTCTGTGCCTACAGCTCAGGACCTGAGAACCTGGAAAGTGGATTGGTGGTTGAGATGCTCATGGAAAACTCTCTGTAAAAGTCAGATGCATGTCCCTCTCAGAGAGTGCCAGTCATGCCCTCAGCTCAGTGTACACTGGCTTGATTCTCTGGGTTTTCCTGGTCTGTGCAGTGCTCTGACTTGCCCCTTTCTGCTTATCCAGTCTTACCCAATTCTGACCGTGGAAGGTCCTAACAGGAAAGACTCTGGCCACCTACTTCCTCAAAAGTTCAGGGAGAAAAGGTGGTGGTCAAGAAAGAAAATTATTATGCAGTTGTGACCACAGTGAGAAGAAACAGGGTGATCTGTGGCTAACCCTTGTCTTTGGAGTACTGATAAGAACCCAGGCTATATAGGAAAAGGACAAGATTGTGTGGTAGGGCCCTAAGTATCCATAGTCAATTAGTCTTGGTCTGGTCTCCATGTGGCTCATCATGTCAGATCTGGTTCTGGAGGTCCTGTGGTCTCTCAGGAAATTATTGCTTGGTAAGGGAGGGGGGTTTCAGTCATGAGATGACTGTTCCCACTCAAGGATCAGCCTCCACTCTTTTATGGGATAGTTGCTTCTCCCTCTGTTCCCATGGTGGGGGTGATCTGCTTGCAGACTGTGTCTAGAATCTTGAAAATGTCTTAATTACTCTTATCTCTGTGTCTTCTGCCTTGAAGGATGATGGGAGAGGTCAGGTAAGTTTAGGGCTAATTCATCCTCTGTGGCCTGTTTTTATATGGACTCCCTTAAATGTATATGTATGGACTTGAGCAGGGACAGGACCCAAAGTTGAGAGTTGCACAGGAGATAGCTGTAGGCCCCTAAGGAGTCAGAGGCAGCCCTTCAATCCCTGTCACAGGGAGTTGAAAAGTAGAGGACACTGCTGTCTGCTGTCATTCTACCCTGCTCTGCCAGATTGCAGGGGGTTACCTGGACCAGAGGAATCATGTAAGCTTCCAGAAAGTATCCTCACTTGTATTTTACCTCATGCTGGCCTGTCCCATTTGTGTGCCTCAGACACTGCTGTCTGCTGTCATTCTACCCTGCTCTGCCAGATTGCAGGGGGTGACCTGGACCAGAGGAATCATGTAAGCTTCCAGAAAGTATCCTCATTTGTATTTTACCTCATGCTGGCCTGTCCCATTTGTGTGCCTCAAAAGGACACAAAATACTTGGCCCAAAGTAGTTGCTCCAAACATGCTCATCTATGGAACAAGGGACAGTAGAATGGTTGTATCAAGATCATACAGCAGTTAGTGGCACTTGGGACATTTGGCTCATCTTAGCTCAATACTACCCTAATCATGTCCTTTGACTCCATGTAATTCATGGGACATAAGTGTTTGGCGTGGTTAATCCATCAGTTCCATTTTCATGAGTGATCCTATATTGGCCCTGAGGCACTCTGGGCTGTAGGGGAGCCCAGGTACTTGATCTGGATGAACCATCCTATCATCAGGCTGAGCCTGGCTCAGGTTGGTCAGGACTTAGCTGTTGTTCCATCCTGAATGAGAACTGGGGGCTGAGGGTCTGGGTGCTGGGAGTTTCCCATTCAGTCCTCCCCTACCCCCCTCTTCTGGCCAAGGCGATTGATTGATCAATTGACTGATCGCCTTTATCAGTGAAAACACCTCTTCTACCTTCTGGGGAAATTTCAGCTGAGCTGCACAAAGGGGTGCCTCCCTCAGGGCTGGAGCTGGAAGATGAGCAGGAGCCTCTGGTGTCTGCAGCACTCCTGGAGTATTCTGGGTCTCCAGAGACTTAAAAGTAGAACTTTGAATACTAGAGAATTAGCTCCTGTGACCCTAGAGAATGTGAAGTCAGAATTCTGGCCTTTATGACCCCAGATGTCTCTTTGTTCAGACCCTCTTACAGAGGTCTTCTCATCATATCCAATAGTAAGAGCATTTGGCTGCTGCCAGCCTCAACTTTTTTTTTGAATCATGTGACACTTTGACTTTTTTTTCCTTCTAAGACATCCAAGATATGTTCACTTCCTCCCATATTTGAGATTCTTCCTGTGAAGTCACTGAAAGCAAGGAACCAGACATTGGCCCCACCTTTCCCAGAGCTGAGATACCTTAGCCTGGCCTACAACAAGGTAACTGCTTTTGCTGTTTCTCCGGGGGCATGGGTGTGAGGAAGGAATGTGAACCATTCTGGCCTGAAGCCCAGCAGTTTCTCCCCTGCATACAAGTGTGTGGACCTGGTTCCCAAGGTATGGAAGCTTATTTGGCACTTGCCATGTAAAAACCTCCATGCTAGGCACTAGGAGTAGGGGGTGTGAGAAGAAAGACCTCCAGACAGGGCTGTAGCTCACTTGATAGAGTGCTTGCTCAACATGTGTGAAACCCAGGGTTCAATGCTTAGTATGGCATAAAGTAGGTGTGGTCCCTGTGATACCGCCATGTGGGAAGTAGTGGCAGGGCGATCGAGGTCAGCTGCCTGGTGAGTTTGAGGTTAGCCTGAGCAAGAGACACTGTGTAAAAGAAAAAGCCATGGTCTTTCAGAGCTTGTCTGCTGAGGGAGGTTGACACTGGACAGGCAGTCACAATGTAAGCATGTTTGGTGCTAGGAAGGAGTACACAGCACTGTCAAGTTAAGTGTATGATTCTGGGTCTGACCTAATGTTTGGTTAAGGAAAAGTGGTGTCTAAGCTTAGATCTGAATCATTGAGTTTCATCAGATGAAGGGGGGTTGGGGACCCAACAGATTGAACAGTCCATACATATGTGTCTGACCTCAGCTGTTTCTCTTATATCTAGCATCCAGATCTTGTTTGATTTTTCTGTAGCCCTTCAGTTGTTTATTTTTATTTTTATTTTTATTTTTATTTTTATTTTTGGTACTGGAGAACAAACCCAAGCTCTCATGCACATGAAGCATGTGTTCACCTGCTGAGCTACACCCCAGCCCATGTTTTTCATTCAACTGAAGTATGATTTTTAATTTTTCTTGTGATTTTGGTCTTTGACTTGTGGGTTCCTTGGGCATCAGTTGGTTAATTTCCAAATCCTAGGGCTCTTCTGGGTACCTTAGATTTGTTGATTCCTAATTAATTCTCTTGCCAGTGAAACATGATTTGTGAGACTTCTTTCTTTTTAAAGTCTATTCAGACTCGTTTTGAGGTCCCCACTACAATTGATGATTGTTCCACACGCATTTAAAGCAACAGGTATCTGCAGTTGTGCAGAGTTGATGCTTTGATGAACATCAGCCAAGATACTGGCTCTATGTACTCTTGCTTATCAGTTACTGAGAACAGTGTTTTCAGGTAACTACTCATGCATCTGAGGAGATGACTCAGTAAGCTGCTTGCTACACATGAGGATCCAAGTTCAAATCCCCAGCACTCACTTAAAAGCCAGCTGTGGAAGCACATGCCTGTAACCCAGGTGCTGGAGAGGAGCAGCTGCAGGAGGATCCTAGGGCCTTTCTGGCCAGCCAGAACAAGTCCAGGTTCACAGAGTGACCCTATCTCAAAAACTAAGGTGGGGAGCAATAAAGGAAGACACCAGATGCCAACATTGTATTGGGCCTCCACACACATGCACAGGCAGGTGCATCCATACCTAAAAAAAGAAAAGTCCACTCGTGACCATGGTTTTGTTCTTTTCTGCCATTAGTTCTGTCATTTTGAAGTCTGTTAGCAGGGACAGCTGCATTTGGCATATGTCTACCTAACGTCCGGTCCCCTTTTAAATTGTGAATCACCTCCCTTTGCTTCTGACAATACTCCTTACATCACTGTCTTCATCTGATTCTAACATGGCTGTATGACCTTCAAACGCTCCCTCTTTGTGTGGTCTGTCTCTATGGCTCTGCCCTTGCACTTGCAGCCTGTGTCATCTATACTGAGGTACATCCTGCAGACCACAGAGAATGGGTGAGGGTGCTTCTCTGCTGTTCTCATCTGTAGCTGTCAGCCTTCCCCCAGGTCCCTGCATCTCTGGCTGATCCCCCATTAGCATTCCTGCCTCCCAGTAGACTGCTGTGGTTATTCCATTTATTTTTATGAGTGGGTCCCTACCCTCTGGCCCTCTTCACTCTATCTATGGGTGCTTAGGGCTGATGGAAAGGAGTGCTGCTGACGGAATGCTGGAGTGTGTGGGTTTGCCATGAGGAGGACCAGTTATATCCAAAGCTGGTGCTATGCCTACCCTCAAGGCTCCTTGACACAAGTGCTTCTGATCATCTGGCCACCAGTATCCTTGGTACTCTCATGTCCAGTGTGGATAAGAGAAAGATTTTTTAACTCGTAAAGAAGCAGCAACAGGCTGGAGAGATGGTTCAGGTGTTAAGAGCACCCACGTGGCAGCTCACAACCAACTGTAACTCCAGTTCCAGGGAGATCCAACCCCCTCTTCTGGCTGCTGAGGTCGCTGCACACATGTGGTGCACAGACATACATGCAGGCAAAACACCCATACACATAAACTAATAAAACTATTTTAAAATGATGAAGCAGTGTGGTAGGATCTTAAGAAAGGAGGGCAAAGTGTTCTGGGCCCAAGTAGTCGATGATGCAGGGATTGCCTATTGTCCACCTCTCCCACGTCTGTCCTTCAGCCATCCTTGCTAGCCAGCATCTCCCACCTGGGTGGAGAGAACCGACTAACATGTCTCCTGCACACCCATCCTTACTGGCCAGCATCCCATCCTTGCTATCAAGTATCTCCCACCTGGGTGGAGCACTGACTAATATGTCTCCTGCACTTGTTCTAGATTGCAAAGGAGGATGCTGTCCTGCCAGCAGCTCTCTTCCCCTCTCTCTGTGAGCTTGTCTTCCACAACAACCCTCTGGTAGCACACACAAGAGGTATGGTGGCCACAGATCTGTCCCCCAACCCAGTGCTCAGTGTTAGCCCTAGAACCCCCACTCTCACCTTAGATGCTAAGTTAGACTTGCTGGTGGGGAATGGGAGTGGGGTGGAGTAAGGAGGGGAGGGAGGGCTCCTCTGCCCTGGAGAATGGAGCACAGCTGACATTGCTCAGCACCTGCTTTATACTTGCTTGCCCCCAGTGGGCGTGCACTGTTCAAGGTCACCCGGCTGGGAAAGCTGGGAATTTTGAATTCTCTGGCCCTTACTTTATTCTATATGCTGCACCCTGCTTGCAGAGCAGGGCTGTGTGGTCTCATTTCCATTTCTCTCTGGGGTTGGTACAGCTGTGGGGCTAGCTCTGCCAGCATCCTGAATGCACTTCTGTTGTCACATCCACCATCTTCTGGCCAAGACCTAACAACTGGAGGTCTGTTAGATTTCTGGGCCTGTTGTGACACCAGTGGGGTGCTAAGCCTTGCTGCACTTTGTCACCTTAGCTTCTGTGTATCACTTTCCTTGTTTACAGGATAGGAATAATATGTCACCTACTTCCTAGGGTTGAAAAGAAAAGTACGATTACATTAACACATACGAAGTAATTTGAACAGTGCTAAACACACAGTAAGCCCCAGGAGATACTAGCTAATCGTCATCATCTTTTCCTTCACAACACCAGGGATCCCACCACTGCTAAAGAGTTTCCTCCAGGAGCGCCTGGGTATCCGCTTAGTTAGAAGGAAACTGGTAAAAACTAAACATCATATGTTGATGCCTCGGAAAGAATCACGAAAGGTAAGCCTTCCAACAGGACCCTGGTCCCAGGAAAAGGGAGCCCATTTTAATGTGCAAACTGGCTCTGGCATGAACACCCCTCCCCAGACAAACCTGGAGCCTCTCTCTCCATTGGCTCCTATGCCTTCTTTCCTTGTCAGACACAGCTAGAAGCAGGGGTGATAAGACAAAGCGCCAAACAAGAGGAGAGAGTGTGAAGAGCCTTCCTAATTTTACAGAGAAACTAGGTCCAGAAAATGAGTGGTAGAAATCAGCCTTGAAGTTAGACCCATCACTGCCTATAGCTATCTGACCTTGGCAAGAGTTTTGATCTTTGAGAGGCTGGTGCCTTACTCTGGAGCCTCACAGAGCTGCTGAATGGGCTGGATGAAAGGAGACGTGACTCTACCCTGAAGAGCCCAAGCCCTTAGCCACACAAGGTCCCCGAGCAAGTTAGAGCTCCGGGTTGCCAGAACTAGATACACAGCCCCTGCCACAGGCAGGCAGGCTGAATTCCTGAACTCCCAGCGAGTTCTTAGACTCATCTCTGGGGACCATGAATTAGTGATTATCATCCTCTTGATCTAAAGGAATTTAAAAACAAAAAATCTGTGCAAAGCTCCTGTCTCCTAATGCAGACATTGCTGGTCCCCAAAGGTAGACACATCTGTCCCTTGCCATCTGCTCTGTGGCTGCCTCTGTCTAAACAAGCTCCTAAGCTCTCAAAGGAGCAGAACAGGGTTCAAAGCCAGAAATAGAAATTCCTAGGGTTTCTGTAGCCTGCTCTGAGGATCTACCACCTCCCTGCACACAGCGGGGGGGGGGGGGGGGGGGTGTTGGGGGGGGGGGGGGGGGGAGCCTGTTAGTGAGCTGGATGCTGGGTACAGGTCTCTGTCTCTCATAGTGGTCCATGGCCAGCACCAACCACAGAGCACTTACACCTCTGCCCTCACTCTTCTCCTGAGAACAGGCTCAGAAAGTGAGCTCACCAGACACAAGTTAGTGTTGGGTTCAGGGTGCCCTGCCCCTCCTCCTGTTCAAGGTTCAGAGTAATTGAGGTCGTAATGAACACAGTACCAGCCTGTGAGAAACAAAGCACTAGAGTGCATCTAGGTGCACACACCACTTGACCTCAGAACATGGGTTAGGCCTGAAGCTAGCTGAGATAGCATTCTGTCTGCAGTGTGCTGAGAGATGGAGCTACACATGCAGTCAGTCAGTCCCAGAACTCCTCAACTCCCTAGGCAAAGGCTACAGGCCATGCTCAGGCATGGGCAGGGGGAGAAAGTGAAGTGAGAACACAAGAGGCAGAGAGACCAGCCTAGTACCAATGGCTAGGGGCGGGCCTCCAGTGAGGCAGGGATGCTGTCAATTCACCCTGTGGGAGACTGAGCTGGCTAGAGAACTTGTTTCTCCAGTTACTCTCCATCTCCCACCTAGAGGCAGATGGGGGGGGGAGATGCTGTCCCTCCCCATGCTGGCAAGGGTTCCTGGTATGCTAAAGCCCCACTGTATGCTGTCTTTCCCTTGTGACATGGATTTTGAAGAAGATCCACGCCCTTCAGGCTTCAATTCCAAACATGGACTCTACACATATCCAAAAGAAAAAAATTCTTAAAATGAAACTTATTTTAGAAAGGAGTGGTCCTTCCTACTCCTCGGGTGTTAGATCCGGGTACAGGCAGGACAGGCAAGGTGGGGAGGGGGTGTTAGTAGTCTGCCCTGTTCACAAGGAAGCAGCTTCCAGGGATTCAACTGTGTCTCGGCCCTCATGCTCCTAAGAACAGTGCTCAGGGTCTTTTCTACTCCACTAGTCAGTCTATAAAGTAGACAGGGCAGGCCAGCCCCTGATCCCCTGCTGCCAGGGAGACAGTGCAGGAAAGACAGTGACAGGCCCTGCCAGGTAAGTCATTCCACAGCTCCTGAGAAACTTGGCTCAGGAAAAGCAGGGCCACCCCATGCCCTATAGGAATCCTTGAGGAGTGTGAGAGGCACTCTGGTGGACCCTGAAGAGTGACACCAAAAGCAGAGTGAGGTCAGGATGCAGCTGAGGCCAAGGGCCAAGGACAAGGCATTTTACCTCTCTGCACCTGGGAAAGAGGCTCATTGTTCCTGGGTAATTTATAAAATTCACATGTGTACAGCAGCGCCCATAAGGAGGTCAGAGGACAACTTGTGGGAGCCAGTTTTCTCCTTCCAGACTGGCAGGAAGAGCCCTTCCCCCATTGGGCCACTGTGGTGGTATAGAGTGAAGTGGTGTCCTCTCTGTAGGGCACATGTGAAGGCCCTTGTGCCTCCCCAGACTGCACTCCCCACCATACAACCCCTCAGAGGCTGGCAGGGGACCAGGACTCACTCCTAACTAGAGAGCAAATCTAACCCAGCCTTCCTTTCATACAGGTGAAGACCCACATCCCAAAGGTGCCAAAGTATTCTCTGGTCCCCCATAACCTGGCCATGACCACAGACAAGCCCCCCTCAAGTCTTATGAGGGAGACAGAGCCAGGAGCTGAGGAGCGTCCCTCCACTGAAAAACCCCCTCATGAGGTACTGCTGGCCACAGAGGGCCCAGAAGGCCCTGCCCTAACTCACCGGACCTTTGTGCCAATGCCTCCCATCTGCTCCGACTCCACCGTCCACAGTGAGCCGGTGTCCCACCCGAGCGGTACAGCTGACCTCTTGAGCCCAGATCACCCATCTGATGAAGACGCCAAGAGTACGGAGTCCATCTTTCTGACCCAGGTACCTGCCTCTACCCCTGGCTGCAGTGCCCACATGTTCCCGCACTGAGCTACCTGCACTGCTATAGACTGCTCAGGCCAGGCAGGGAAACCTGAGAGCCGTGCAGCTCTCAGGCACCCTCTGATCAGGGGCTACACAGGACACTAGTAGTCCTATGGCAAAACAGCATCTCAGATCTCATTAGAATGTGGTGCTGGCCAGTTTGCAGAGGTTTGTCACTACTCACGCCTTTGCTAAAAGTCACCTCACTTTTCATGCTGCCCTGGGTCCTGGGAACAAAGATGGCTCAGATACAGGTGCCACCTCAGAGGTGCTTAGGGTCTAATGGGAAAGCAGACAGGAGCAGAACTTGCCATCCATGCTAGGACTGGAGGAACCCAGGGGAAAGACCTGAGGAAGCATGCCTCTGTTCCAAACCAGAAGGGCAGGGAGAAGGGTCGAGTGAGCTGCACTTTACCAGGCCAAGGAGATGTTAACAAGGTGGAGATGCGGGGCTGAGAGAACAGGAAACGTGGTGCAGGAGGAGAAATTCGAATGGAAAGTTTAGGTGTGAGTGCAGCAGTGTGTAGAGCAGTGGTTCTCAACCAGTGAGTCATGACCTCTTTGGGGTTGAGCAACCCTTTCACAAGGGTCACCTAAGACCACCAGAAAACACAGATATTTACATTATAATCCATACAGCAGCAAACTTAGTTATGATGTAGCTACAAAAATAATTTTATCCTTGGGGGTCACCACAACATTAGGAACTGTATTAGGAAGGTTGAGAATCAGTGGCGTAGAGAAAGGAAATACAGATTGAACATCCCCAATCTGAATGCCTCAAATCCCAAATGCTCTGAATTCTGAAAATTTTTTATATGCCAGCATGTCCACAAGAGGAAAATTCTACATCATGAAATTCTGTTTCATGCATAAAATCACTTAAGATATATGAAATTACCTTAGGGCTATGTATATAAAAATATACATAAAACAAATTTAACATGTAGACTTGGGTCCCATGCCTTGTCATGTAAATATTTTAAAACATAAACATTCTTCCCCCGGGCATTTCATATAAGGACTGTTCAACCTAGAAGAGTTGGCAGGGTCCCCCCCCCCCTCCCCAGGAACATCCCTACATGGAATAGGGCTTCCTGTATTGTGTAAAAACCATTCGGGTAGGCCTAACTGTTCCTGGCTACCTCAAAGGAAGAATAAAGGATACAAAACAAACACCCTCAGCATGGCATTCGAAGGTCTTCATCTGGGCCCTGTTTGGCACTCTAGTCACCTGTCACATTACTCTTTAGCATGCCATGCTATTCCTTGGCTGTGAAGCTGCATCCTTTGTCACAGCTGGCAGTTCAGCCCTTCCTCTGTCTGCTTTGTCTGGGAATAGCTCTCCTGTGACCCCAAGACTTGGCCAGATAAGGAATCACTTTCTATGGAGTTTTCTGGTTGGCCTTGGGCCGCCTCTGACATTGCCCAGGTTGGCCATGCCTTCTCCTGTTAGCACACATCACCTATTCTGTTGGCCTCCTCCGTTCCTTAGCTCTCCCTGTATCAGGCAGGGCCCAGCACTGCAGCCTGTGCACAGCCTATGCTGGGATTCGGCAGGGAACAAATGTGTTTTCTTCCTGGCACAGGTGAATGAGCTGCCATCCTCCACAGTCCACAGGGAAAAGTTAGAGGGGAAGGAGAATGAGCAAAAGAGACCATTAACTGCACCCAGAGAGGCAAAGAAGACTCGGAGGAAGCATTCTATGTCCAGCAAGTACGATGGCTATGAGGAGCTGCTCACAGCCAAGCCTGATCAGGCCTTTGTGGAACCAAAGGGTATGTCAGGGCCAGGGGCATCCCCTCAGCCTAGAGCCAAGGTTGGTGCTGCCCTCCATTTGAATGTCTGTCAGGGGGTTTCTTAGGGCATGACAGCATCACTGTCCTTTGCTGAACCTTCACTGCTCTGGAGTCATGGTTTTTTTCAGACTGGCTGGATTAGCCCAGTCGCCCTGGGTGGAAAATAGCTCACAAAGAGTTAATGACCAAACAAAGCCAGGTTTCTGAACTCTCACCAGCCTCTGTTAAGACCCAGGAAACCATCCCTAACCCTCTCCACCTGGTTTGGGGCAGCAAAGAATGCCCTCTCAGCTATATGATTCTGTTAACTCTGATATGCCAACAGTATCTGTGCCTCCAAAAGAGCCAGCTGGGAGCGGGTCTCCTGGGAGTCACCCTGTCATGTGACCCCTGAGTTTTAGGAATCACCGTGAGGCCCAGTCTTCCCACTTCGGCTCTGAACTCATGGGGCCATTTCACTTAATCAATGGTGAAGCATTAGGCACCGGGAGCAGATGATAGAGTCCTGGGAATGGCTTTCTTGGGCACAGAGAGGGTCAGGGATGACACTTGCTGCCTTCTCTGCTAGGCATCCAGAAGAACACACAGGCCCTACATCGCATGCTGAAGCAGCCACTCATCTGCCGTTCCAGCAAGCCCAGGCTGGACACTTTCCAGAAACCCTACATCCCCAAGGAGAAGCGGGTAAGCACTGCTGCCCAGCCATTGACTGTAATCCCAAATTCTGAGGTCTCTGCAGGTGCAGACCTTGGAACCCTGAGGCCCCGTTTCCCAGCACTCCCTACTGCCCCCTGCCTGTCACTATGAGTGCATGAAGTGATAGACCTTACCTTGTGCCAGGTTGGGCGGGTAACAATCCCACCCCCACGGAAGACCCGAGCGCAGCTGCTGGATGACATCCTCATTCGTATGCGAGACCCTCGGAACGTCACCGAAGCTCCGCTGAGTATGGTTCCCCTATCCCACCAGGGCTGGTGCCTAGCAGGGAGGGCTGGTGTGAAGCTAGAAGGGAGCATGGAAAGCAGGGAGGCCTGTGGGAAGCGGGAATTTCAGACGTCTGCTGCGTGCAGCGCAGGCAGGTAGGCAAGCAGGCAGGAGGCTCCCACTGTCACCGGGCACCATCGGGTTTTGAACTAAGGCATGACTACCCACTGTTAGGGCTGGACTGCTTCCACCCACCAATATACTCTGTGCATCTCTGGGCCAGGGGAACCGGGCGAGCCTGGTGCTGTCCCCTCTCGTCTCTGCAGGTAGTGTGTTGCAGCGGCGTGCACAGCAGCGCCTGGTGAACCAAAAGCAGTACCGGGAGGCCAAGCGGCTGCTCAAGGAGTTCCGCTCGCGGTACAAGAAGCTGGTGCGCAGCTCCCTGCGGACTGTGTTCACGGAAAGCCCGCCGCCCAGGCCGCCCACCCGCCGTGCGCTGAGCGCGAGCCAGCCAAAATTCGGCCGCTTCCTCGAGTTCATGGACGAGTTCTGTCAGGAGCCCACGGCCAGCGACTCCAAAGAGTAGAGCCGTGCACCGCCCTCCCCAGGGGCTCTGTGCCCTGGACTGTGCCCAGGCCTGAAGAGAGGGGGTTTGGGCTCCATGTCGCTCCGTGGTCAGCATGTGGAGCTCGGCAGGACCTCGCCTCCGCGCCCGGCCAGGCTGCACCTGGTGGCTGGCCCAGCAGCAATAAAGAGTGGTGCATAGAGCAATACAGTGGGTGCCAAACATTCTTCTTGGAAGCCAGGCCAGGGCCACAGTGGTGGTGTCACTAAGGAAAATTCTCCACTGATACTTGCATCCCAAGGGGGTTATAAGAAATCCATCTGAGTCACTCGTAACAGCTTCAATAAGTGCTGAGACAGGAGTAGCATATAAAGCTTAGAAGTTAAGTGGGCTGTAGCCAGCAAGAGGCAGTGTAGCAAAGCAGAGGGCAGGAGGAAGCTTTTTCCATGTGCCGATGAAAGAAGATGGAATGCCTCCTTTTGAGATAATGGCTGGTAGAAGAGGGGTGGGGGTTAGTTTCCCAAGGTCCCATAATCCAGGCCACAGGCTGAAGATAAGAACACAAACATCTGGGTTGAGCCGGCACCTAGGTCCATAGTAAAGGTTCACTGGCCACGGTAGACTGTGGCTGCTGCATTCTTGATGTGTGCCCAATAGGCAGTACCTGCCCCAGGAGCATCTGGAGAAGTCCACCAGGGTTATGCTATGTGGGACCTAAGACTTCTCCCCTGGGGTTGGCTGTTTCAGATTGGGGCAGCAGACCTGCAGGGGTCCAAGAATGCTTCTTGATCCTCAGCAAGGCAGACTCCCCAAATCCAAGTTCCAACCATTTGCATAGTATGGAACTCAACTTCACAGATTCGTGCAAGTAGCCAGTTAAGTGCTTACACCTAGGTGTGATCATACCCAGACATACAGGCGTTTGTACCATCACCACACAGGCCACATCAGGTGAGTACAGTTATCACATTCAGAGCATTTGACTTGCTAGACTGGACTTTCAGGAGTTCCAGAGTGTCCATCTTTATTGTTAGAAGCCACCCTGACAATCACAGTCAACCCACCAGGTTCCACTTCTGGAGAACCTCCTAGGGACCACTGCTTCCTTCATTCCCATATTCTCAAGAATGGACCTACACCTACACACCTACACACAGAGTTCCAACCTAGCTTCTTGCAGTCCAGTAACAGCTGACTCTCTGAAGGCAGTTCTACCCGTTATGCTACAATGGACTGTGCAGCCTGTCTGCCTAAGTCCCTCAATTCTACTCTTTGCACCCCCATGGCAGCCCATTAACCAGTGTGAGGGCATTCCAAAGAGGGCACACTTGTCTGGGCCAAGCATCACCTTCTCTGTTGGCATGCTGGTTGCCTCTCCTTGCTAATTTTCTGGTTATTCTATATTCCTTACTTTGGCTTTTTACCCCAGTGGCTGCTTTCTTTGAGAGCTGAGCTCAAGCATGCACCTTTTCTTCCATATATGTAACAAAATGTTGCAACTGAACCCTAAGCAGGAAGCCACTATATACTATCCCAACTCTGCTACTACTCTAGTAAGACTCGATTAAGATGCGGTGGCAGCTCATGTTTTTCATCTTTTTTTTTTTTCTTCTTGTACTTTCTCACAGGGTTTCATGTAGCCCAGGGCAGCCTCAAACTATACAGCCAAGGATACCTTGAACTCTTGATCCTCTTGCCTCCACAAACTCAATGCTGGGATCACTCTTAACTTTGAGCTTCAGTTTACGTGTGTCCTTCAGTCTTTCCAAATTGAGCTGTCTAGTCACCCGAGACGCTAGTGAGGCTATGGGAGACTGACAGATGGAGAAGCAGACTATGCTCACACCCGAAATTAACTCACAATTCCACGGTACAGTGGGGCAAAGGGGGAAGACAGCCTGGTCACTGGCCCAACCAGTACCAGTCCGGATATACACTGCAACATTAGCTGAGGCCACAGCAGCAGAAGAGGCAAGCAGCAGCTTTGGAGTCAGAGGGCCCAGCACCTAGTCTCTGAACTGGTAGTGCCAGAGTTCCCATCTGTAAAGGAGGAGATCCACCACACCTAGTTACACGGGAATTAATAGTGTGTACAGTATCTTGCTACTAAAGTGCTGAGTACTGTTTTCAAGTCTCCAACTGGTTGCATGTTCACTTTAACAACTCTTCCTTGAAGGCCTGGGGCAGAGGGACTTCAAAGATCCCCCATGTGGTGGCCCAATCTTCCAGGTTTGTTTTTTGATTTAAGAGAAACGGGTTAACATTTGTTCTATACTCCTATCAAAGGTATTTTTTTATGACTTTCCGAGCAATGGTTCCAAAGAATATTTTTAACAAATCATATTCTTAGTACAGCCATAAGGTGCAAGGACAATGGCATCCCACAAGTCATTCTCAAACTCCTGTCTTCATCCCTTCAGAGAAGGGATGGTCACAAGAGGTCAGGAAACTGTGAATAACACCCATTAGAATACATCAAAAGGTATACTTGTTCCCTGTGGAGACCCTTACCCCAGTGCCTTCCCACTCTTTCTGAAGGCCAAGGTGAGGCCTTTCATCCCAGGTACCTCCCTGCCCCAGGACAGCACCCAAACACTGTCAGACATAGGTCTCTAGAGACCAATCAGAAACAGACTGTTTTGCTTTCATGAAGCTGCTTTACTGTACTGCATTTTCAACTTGGGCCTCGCCTGAAACAGGCACATACACATTGAAGAATGCACTTTGGTACTGTTTTAATCACACATCATCCCACTTGATTCCACAGCATTTCATTAAGGTAAAAGCATCCCTGACAGGGCATACCTTGTCCCAAGTCCTCTGTCAAAAGGCTCTTTGAGTCAAGGGGGTACAGACAGCAGTGGCAGGCCACCAGGATGCAGGGCCCCTTCTCTGATTCTAATGCAAACAGGTGGAATAAGTCACAACCACCAGACCACAAGGAGCTATATATAGCAGGTTGCCTAAAACCAGACAACCATTTTCTATTTCTAGGTGGAAAGGTTGGGCTCTTGGCTCTTAAGACAACTATGTTTATACAGTTAAGAGTAACAATGTATCAGGTAAAAAGAAGAGGGGTGAGGGGAGAAGGAAAGGAGGGAGGGAGCAAAAGAAAGAACACCCACTAGTTGGCATTTCAACTAGTCACTGCTTGTCTTGCATAGTATCCTTTTTCTTGCTTTGCTGGAGGCCTAGGGCCGATGGTCATGTCTGATGCAAACTGGGATCTGCAGGGCTGCATTGGTGGCTCAGCTTGGAGGGCAAGTGCCAGTTAGGGAGAACTGATGCTACTACAGGAATCTGGCCCAAGGAGGAAGCTATGCTCTGTACAGCTCGACACTGAAGCCTGCACCGTCCTGCGTCTGTGTGCACACAGGTAGGGAAAGGTAGGGAACGGAGATGAGCAAGCCTGACTTTAGTTAGCATGGCTTTGTCGAACTCCTTCTGGACCTGAAACACCAGAAAGGGAGCAGCCTATTTAGAGCCTAAGGTTAGCCCTCACACATTCCTGGCAACAAACTCAGGAAACGGGAAAGTACCTTCTCCCCCTCAGAGGAAACACTGGCAAGACACAGAGCAGCCTGCTCACGTGGACCTGGCACTTCCTCCACCATCCACTTTGACTAAATTGGTAACCTCTATCTCTACGCCTCAGAACAATCTCCAGAGTGGAAAACCACAGGGAAAGTTTCATTTCTGGGTCATCAAAGGAAAGCTTGCAGCAGTCCAGTCCTCAAAATCTGCTCCTCCTCCTAAGAACTTTAACCAGCTCCATTCTCTCTAGAATGAACCTAAGGAACGTTAATGTTCTACAGTTGATGAGGAAAGGACCTGCTAAGAAAGGTTTAAGAACCTAATGAATTTGTTTTTGAAAGAAACAGCAAAAGCTGTAATTAAAATACAACAAATTCCACTCATTAGCTCATACTATGGGGTTTTTCCTATTAAGTACCCTATATGTTAAGGTGTATTTAGGAGATTAGGTCCATCTCAACTGAAAGAAACAAAGAAAACCAAAAGCCATTCTAACCCTCTGTCACTTGGGTGTACCTGTCATTCACAAGCTGTGTATCTTTCACTATTATTCATCCCAAGAGAACTAAAACAGAAACCAAAACTGTGGGTCTTCATTTGAGTGGGGCTGAGGCTGCTCCAGCTCTAACATCCCATGATGATGAGCTAGCCTCCACCCTCTCCTGAGGGCGCTCCACTTCAGTGACAAGCTAGGAAGAAGAAACCCCAAGTCACTGCTAGTTCTAGTGAGAGGTAAGCCCATGGAATGCATTAGGAGGTCACTTAAGTGAAGTGACCACTCTATCAGTGGTCCAGATCTGCCCCACTTCTTGGAACTTGAAGTTAATGCAGCTTCTGAACAGGGCAACTGGTCTATAATCACTGCAGGAGAAAATCCATTCTTCCCTGGAAAAGTTACTTAGGAAATGGAAAAAGCAGAGTTAATCAAACTCATGAGCTCAACACATGTCCATCCACATTGCACTAGACAATGGAAAAGTTACTTAGGAAATGGAAAAAGCAGAGTTAATCAAACTCATGAATAGTGATGAGGTATGGAAAATGTTGCCAGTGACAGGCTGAATGCTGCTAGATCGATGTCCTGAACAGGACCACTGGAGAGCTATGTTATAGATGAAATAGCCTTTCAAAGATGATTAACACACTCTCTAGCTCAACACATGTCCATCCACATTGCACTAGACAGGTCCCCCAACAACAGAGACTATCCGATGGTCCTGCACAGGGTAGAGTCATCCAAGAGCTCAAAAGTGCCCATTGAATGAACACAGCCTTCAGTCCCAGTTTTAGTTAGTGGCTAGTTTGTAATCAGACAATAATTAATTAGCTAGCTTTCCTCTCTGAGGGGCATTTTACCTAAAAAAAAAAAAATAGTAATAAAAAGATTTATGACCAGTACATCCCCTATACAAAAAAATGTTTTGGGTTTTTTGTTTCTTTTAATAAATGAGGTCAATTAAGAAAGGATTCCTAACCGGGCATGGATGGCGCACACCTTTAATCCCAGCACTCGAGAGGCAGAGGCAGGTGGATCTCTGTGAGTTCGAGGCCAGCCTGGTCTCCAAAGCTACACAGAGAAACCCATCTCGAACCTTGTCCCTAGACAAGCCTCGGCCAGACTTAACTTTTTTTTTTTTTTTTTTTTTTTAAAAGAAGTAACTAAGAAAGAGAGGTCAGTTGCTGGCTGAATAATCCCTGACTTGTGGCAGGTCAGTGTTCCTGTTTCATAAATACACAGTCTCTACATGGTTTACCCAAAGTTTACATAGCTGGTGAAAGAAAGTGGAATTTGAGTTGTTCTGTGTCCCATTGACTACTCTGTACTTGTCTTATCTCTGAAGAGAGATGCCATCAGATCCGGATGACTTCTTCCAACAGGTAAAATCAGCTGCTCATGAATGTTTCCTCTCTGGAGAAGGGCTACCAAACCCTTTTGAGGAATGGCACACATTTCTTGATTTCCCATCAGAAAGACTCACCCTCCTGTTCCTCATAATTTCCTCTTTAATAAGAAAACAAAACAAGCAGAACACATATACAAAAGGAACATAGCAGAGTGTGGGCAAATTCCAGGGTGAAGAGAACTGCAGTGACATGTGAGAAGTATTTGTTTTGTGGAATAGTATCTTTCACTCTAGCGCACCAACCCTCCCAACCATTCTATTTCCCTGTCTCTTTACTCTTTAGGAATCCGAGTCAACAACTGTACTTGCAAAGGGCTTCAGTAATGCACTGAGATGGAAGTTTTTAGAAATAAAGTGTTCAGGTTTAGTGACTAGATGTGGGAGCATCTTGCATGCAGCACTTTGGTAGTTTTTCTAGCTTCAAAGCTCTACTCCAAGGACCACTGCTCAGCAGGAAGCATAGGAAACAACACTGTCTCCAGCACCCTGGGTCTCACTGGGGGTGCACAGGGACAGCCAAAGTCCAGTCCAGTGTCTGCAATACTCATTAGCAGCAACACTGCACCTGCAGCCTACAAGGTTGCCACTGCTATGAACACTTAAAATCAAGGTAGTAACTAGGGGAATGGGGATATTTAAATATATATATATATATTCATCTATTAAAAATATTTTATCTTTTTACCAAAACCAAAACTTAATTCCAACTGGAAGTGTTTTTCTAATGATTAGTGACATATAAAAGGGTGGCACATGGAAAAATAAGTGTCTTTGCTACTACCCAGTAAGACTAGCCTTCCTTCCAATAATAATTACTAGGATCATAAAGGGAATGTATGAAATGGCAGAAATTTCAAAGTTTTCTCTAATAGAATCTCCTTGTATCTGCAGACCAGGGCCAGCTCTCCTATTTGGGGCATTGGCATGCCTTCTAGCAGCCTTTAAAGAGAAGTAAAGTGTTATGAATATAAAGTAATGAGACTATTGCATGTTTTTAAAACATACACCCACACCTGGGGACACACAGGTCCCCACCAGAGTAGTCTCTGAAGCCACCTATCTTAGCGATGGCCACACACATCCAGCATCCCTGGGAATAGTCAGCTATGAGCTGCAGAGAAAGTAGCTCTGTCTACTTCAAGGGGACACCTTGCTTGGGGACTCCACATGCTCCTTCCAACCTTCCTAGAAGCTTCAACCACTCTGGGCTAATTTCAAATCTGAAGTTCTCTCTTCTAGAATCCCAAAAGCCTGACATCTGCCCTGAGGAAACAACACTAGAGGTGACCTCCCTCGGCATTGAGGAAAGGGAGTCTGTAGCTTTAGCTACTTCTAGACTTTGAATGCTTCAGAAACATTCTAATCAAAGGCAACTTCACTGGAGAACTACGCAGTATCCTGCTGGGACCTTTCAAGAAGGCCAGCATAGATGCCCTGGAAGGTTTATTATGATGCCCGTCACATGACTATGGTAACAGCTCATACAGACACAGGGAACACCAGCCCACCTGAGAGTCCCTAAAATCATATCATAATCCTTATTCTCATTGAGCCCAGAAGGGCAGAAGCACCAAGCACCACCAGGGATGCAAAAGACACATGGTGTCAGCTGCTAAGAAAAATAAACCCCAAAGGTCCATGGGACTGAATTCACCAGCTGCATCCAGCTAGATACCTTGTTTCCACAGTATGAAGTCTCAGCATTGTCCCTTGCCTGACTTTGGGGCAAGTGTTTCCTGGTTTTCAAACCAAAATTTCAGATAGCCATTGCCACGTGGAAAGAAGTAAGGAAGCCTCATAGTTCATCTCACAGGCTAGGACTCCTGGGAAAACAGGAGTCTGTAAACAGGGTAGGTAAAATCACTGCAGTTCTACCATTTACATTTCAGCAATGGTACAATCTCAGCAATGTTAATTGCTTCTAGGTGGGCTTTGCAATGTCACAGTCAATGCCTAACCACTCTCCCTAGGTAGCCCTGGCATGCCCATGGGTTGTATTTCCTTTGGGCACCCTGTGATTGTTGAGAATCCATGGGACTTGTGGCCAGGAGGCACAGTGGTCAGCCTGGGTTACACCACTTGGCAGCTGAGAGAACCTGATCGTCTGCACTGCAGCTTCATCAACCAGCTGACACCACTTACAAGTTAGGTCTCAAGAAGACCAGGTGTCAATCACACAGCATTAATCAAATGTCATAGTTTAAACAGAGAATGTAATTAACTTCTGGAGAAGCAAACTGATTCAAAAAGTTCCAAGCTCAACTGATTTAGGTGTGTAGGTATTAGTGGCAAAGGGGAAACAAAGACAAACATGATCGATCACCTATTTATCTCGGACCTTCCAAAGCACTGCACTACTTGTCTCTGAAGAGTAGATGTTTATCTGCAAGGCTGAGTTAAACACTACTCTGTTGTGAGAAGCCAGGACTCTTAGGAGTGTAAGAAGGGACCCTCTCCCTGCCATCTCTAACTCTGGCCATCATGTTCATGGCCATTCCCAATCTCATTCCAAGTGGGTCCCTCTAGATTTGGGCCCAGAAGCCTTCAGAGTTGGCTCACTCAGTGGGTGAGGAGTATGGCCCAGGTCCTAGAGAGCCAAAGATGCAGACCCTTGGCTTTGATTACCAACGCCCCATACCAGACAGTGTTTTGCCATTGAAAGAAACTCAAAGCAATAACAATCAGCTAGCTCTTTTGGATAAATGACCGAGGTCAAGGACCTCTGAAAAGCAGGTAACATTACATTGTACAGTCAGTGCTACTTGGCCCCAGCCAGGCTGCTGGACCGTAAGAGATACTGATCCACGTTTCCTTTCCGACGGTTCACAGTTCGCCTCTCACTGTCAAATATGCGCTGTGACTGCAGAGCCATCGGCTGGACCTCTTCCTCCTGCTGCCATTTCCGCCCCACCTCACGCAGCCCTGGGTCTTTGGAGGCCAGGCCCAAGTCACTGCTGGGTGGTCGCAGTTTCTTAACACCATTTTGTTCTAAGTGCTTGGTCTTACAGCGCCTTTTCCGGCCCCTACGCAGGGAAGGAATTGGCTCCTCTCCTAAGCCGTCAACCAGAATGCCATTAGCCAGATCAAAATGACTGAGTGTCTTTAGCTGTTTCTTTGTTTTGAGAACCCCACCCAAAACATCATTTTTGGGTATCACTGAATTAACTGCTGAGGTCTTCATGACTGTGCTTATACAAGTTTTGTCTAATGTGGCATCCAGGGTGGACCTTGACTCCTCAAACTGCTCCCCTCCCAAAGAAGGCCCACTGACTACTCCTCTGTGCTCTGAGAAATGGCAGGCTTCCAGTGGGCCCTCTTGGCTCCTTTTTCTAACATAGTCCTGTTCTCCTTTTGTCTGGTTAACAGCAGGGAAATACTCAAGGGCAGTGGAGGTGGGCTCAGCACACTCTGAGAGCACTTGGGCCCTGGCCAGTCTTGTACTTAAAGTCAGAGGCGGCCTCTCCTTGCTGGAATGGATAGCTTCAGAGCCTGGTAACTCTTCCCCTCCTTCAGGGGCCAGGGATGTGAGAGTGGCCTTGGAAAGGGTCTTCTTGAACTGCCGCTCCTGAAAGATCTGCTCCCACTTCTTGAGGATCCGTGGACTAGCCTCATAGGAAGTCTGCTTCTGCAGGCTTCTGGTCAGGTTTCGAGGTGTTGACTTGATAATGAGAGGGCTTAGCACTCGGCCATCGGGGAGTCTCTTGGGAGGGGTGCATGGTGAGCAGACAATGGGCTTGAAGTGGTTTAGTTCTTCGGAAATACTGTCGTTGCTTTCAGGGCTGATAGAGCGCTCTGGCTTGTGTAAGGAAGCCAAGGATGAAAGGGAGCTGAAGGGCAGGCGCTTTTCTATGGTTAAGTCAGGGGCTGAGAGGCAGCGGTTGTTTTGAGTGGACAAGAGAACACCAATAATGGGGGTAGAGCCTGGAGTTATAGTTGTGACCTGAAAGAAATATAAAAGATTGTGTATGCATGTGTTGTGTGTGTATATTTTTCTTTATTTTTTGTATTAATTATTTTTTATTTTTAAAAACTTGTATGTGTATGTGTCTGTATGTATGCACACATATTTGCAGGTATCCAAAGAGGCCAGAAGAGGGTGTTGGATAACCTGGAGTTAGAATTATGGGAAGCAACTGCCTGATGTGGATTTAGTTTTCTGCAAGAACAAGTGCTCTTAATTGCTAAGCCATCCCTCCAGCCCTCTCATACAGGTATTTGTTTCTACTTAAGTCCTTTAGATGGTGGGAGAATAAAGAGAAGGAAAGAATGTGTACTGAAAAAGAAATTCCTACACTAAAATATATACACACACTTGAAGGAGTTAGCAACATTAAAATATGAAGATAGGTCTCATGGAGACCTTTTAAAAAGGTGTCTATAGGGCTGTAGAGATGGCTCAGTGGTTGGGAGTGCTAGCTGCTCTTCCAGAGGTCCTGAATTCAGTTCCCAGCAACCACATGATGGCTTACAGCCATCTGTAGTGGGATTTGGTACCCTCTTCTGGCCTGCAGGGATACATTCAGGCAGAACACTATACATAATAAATAAATCTTATTAAAAAAAATTTAAGGTGTCTATAATGGCTTAATACCCCCATCTGTCCACTAATTTGAACCTTCTTCCTTCATGCCTGTCTGTAGAATTCTCTATGTAGCTAATGTAATCTGCCTTGCACAGGGGAAGCTATGCGTGTGTTGAGGGAGAAGACAGAAGGTGGGAGAGTCCCAGCAGCCTGAGGCTGAGGTGTACCTTGGCTCTGTTGGGTGGAGCTGTTCTGAGCCTGCTCTTCACTCTATCCTGAACTGTGTCACTGCAGCTCTGACTCCTCTGCACCTTGGTGTTAAGCTTCCTAAAAAAAGAATATACAGTTAAAATTAGTCCATACATGAGTTTAGGAAAAGATAACAATCTCTCTTACCATTCTAAGCCACTCACCAAGAAAGAATTCCCTTAGGAAGCTATAATAGAAAATGGGTTAACTTATTAACCAAATGCCAAAGAGAAAGAGAGGACACTTAGTTCAGGCTTGTTTCCAGACCCTGCCTTGATAAAGTAGAAAGGACGGCTGTTTGCCAGGCTTACAGAGCTGGGGTATTTACCCCCCTGAGAGGGTGTGTAGAGCATTCAATCTCCCTACAAACAAAACCTGTTCTTCTGATTAGACCCAAACCTCTCCATAAGCAATCTAAGGCAGCCATGAAACAAAAAATGGAAGCATTTAGGAAGATGTACCACAATGCTCTTTTTCTATTTAGGGAGTCAAACTTAAGTGTAATCTCTTGTTTACCCCTTTACACTTGAGTTTCCAGAGAGTTAAATCCCCAAAAGTCTTCCAGAACACATGATTTTTATCTTATGTATTATGACTTTACAATTTTTGTTGTACTTCATGTGTGTGGGTGTTTTGCCTGCATGTGTATCAGTGTAACACATGTATACCTGGTGCCCATGGAGGCTGGGAGAGGGCACTGAATCCCCTAGGACTGCAGTGACAAATGGTTGTGAGCTGCTATGTACATGCTAGGAATCTAACCTGGATCCTCTGGAAGATTATCCAGTGATCTGAAACACTGAACTATCTCTTAAAAACCACACTCCACAGTACCTCCACTGAGTGCTGTAGTCCACTGCATTACAGTGTGATAAATGAAATAACAGGGAAGTTGTTATATAACTAAATCTCCTAGTGGTTTGTTGTTGTTGTCGTTTTTCACCCTCTCAAGAGTTTTATAATTTAGTTGTTACATTTGGGTCTTTGATTCATTCTCAACTAAACTTTGCATGTGGAAAAGATTGGGGGGCTAACTTCCTATCAGCTGTATGGAGCCAGATGGAATCTGCTAAGGAATTGCACGCAGACAATAAGCAGTCACCTCCATCATATCACAATTTTCAAGACAGGGTTTCTCCATGGCTTTGGAGCCTGTCCTGGAACTAGCTCTTGTAGACCAGGCTGGTCTTGAACTCACAGAGATCCACCTGCCTCTGCCTCCCGAGTGCTGGGATTAAAGGCATGCGCCACCACCTCCTAGCCTAACTTTTTTTTTCAACTCTGCTTTTATCAAACATTTATCACATACTCATTACATACAAGACACTGATGGGCCCAGGCACTGAGAATCCAGAAAAGATGAGACAGTCCAGGTCTTCAGGGAATCAGATCAGTGGGACAGACAAACGACTCAGTATTATACAATTTAAGGGCATAGTAAAACAGTCATGACATAAGAGGCAGAAAGGGCAAAAAAGAGGGTTATTAATAACTGAGATGGAACGAAAAACTGGAAAATCTACAGCGTGTTCATTTTGCTGGATGAATAAGTATTTCAATAAGTATTTGCAATAAATCAAGGCAGACATAACTATGTAGACATTCTAAACAAATTATTTCCTCAACTGACACTATTTAGCTCTTTAATGGGATACATCATATGAACTCTTTTGTAGAAAATATTTTAAGGTCAGAAGTGGCTCATAGAAAACTTGGAGTGAGGGAGGGAGGGAGGAAGGAAAGGAGAGAGGGAGAGGGGGAGAGAGAGAGAGAGAGAGGGAGGGGAAAGAGGAAGGATCATCCTAGTAGAGAAGGTCTGTCTACCACCCAGAATGGCTTCTATTCCAGCACCTGTGTGGTTTCTCCCATTCTATGTCTTACGGAGAAAATATAGGAGAAAATAGTGGCTGTGTAACACACACATGAAATTCAGCACTTAAATGAGATGAGAATCTCCCACAATTTTGGAGCAAGCAAAAACCTTCAACATCACCTTAAGAAGACAGCTCCTTAGAAGCAAGTTGGATTGATATTTTACTTAGAAAATATTTAAGTTCATTTGCATTTCTAGAAGCCAAGCAAATTATTATTACATAAGCACCTGAGGTGGCCTAAATAGGAATGGTCATGACTCATTTGTTCGAATGCCTGGCCCCTAGGGAGTGGCACTATTAGGAGGTGCAGCCTTGTTGGAGGAGTGTGTCACTATGGGGATGGGCTTTGGGGTTGCATACATTCCAGTTATGCTCAGTGTGGCAACACAGTCTCCTCCGGTTGCCTGCAGATCAAGGTGTAGAACTCTCAGCTCCTTCTACAGCACCTTGTCTACCTACAAACTGCCATGCTTCCCACCATGACAATAATGGAGTAAACCTCTGAAACTTTAAGTCAGCCCCAATTAAATGTTTTCCTTTATAAGAATTGCCAAAAAAAAAAAAAAAAGAATTGCCATGGGCCGGGCATTGGTGGCGCATGCCTTTAATCTCAGCACTCGGGAGGCAGAGGCAGGTGGATCTCTGTGAGTTTGAGGCCAGCCTGGTCTACAGAGTGAGTTCCAGGATAGGCTCCAAAGCTACACAGAGAAACCCTGTCTCGAAAAACAAAAAGAAAAAAACAAAAACAAAAACAAAAAATCTCTCCCCCTCAACTCCATATTGGTGAAGAAAAGACCCAGGGAGCAAATTCACATTTGTGGTGATGAAGCATACAATGAAGACACCTAAAGAAGTTTCTGAGTGAAAATATTTCTGATAAACTTTAGCATCACTGAAATTTTCTTTGTCATTTCATCTGGAAAGCACACTTTGAGCAGCAACTTGATGCAAAGAATGGAGATCAGCTCATAACAAGGTAATTCAGAGGCACATTTCATCACTGAAGGCTACCACATTAGAGTGTCATGAGAGGGTAATTTAACCTCAGTCTGTTCTTCTAAGGATTTCATCTCTCACAGTCTTGCATGTTGATTCCCAGCTGTGACAGCACCATGTAAAGAGGCAATATTTCTTCCCAATGAATGACCCTGACACCTTGTGGAGAATTAACTGACCACAAATGTATACATCACTTCTGGACTCAATTCTAAGTCCATTGTTCTATGTTGGGAGCCGAATCTCAGGGCTTGGCATGAGATCCTAGGCCATGCTTGGCAGGCCACATAGTTAACCTTTACATAGCAGCTCCTGAGAACCTCAGCTCAAGAAAAGAAACAACCTGACCCAGTCCTCCACCCACAGGCTCAGTCACCTAGGCAACCCCTTCCTGGACCTCTTACTCATAAACTCTTTATCCTGCCAAACATCCTCTTTGTGGCTTCCTAATATCCTACCTATACTAACACCTGGTGCACAAACAACCCATTCTGCCCCTCCCCATATCCTGACTATATAAGCTAGCCTGAGAAAAATAAAGTTTGCCACTTGATCAGAATCCTGTCTTTCTTTTGTTCTTTCTGCATCTCTTGTCCCCATTCCCTATTCCTGACTCTCTTGCCCCAGATTGATGTCCTGCAGGTTGGGACAACTGGCGCCCAACGTGGGGCTGGATAGAGTTGGGGATCTGGGAACTTCAGTGCTCAATAGAGGGAAGGGCCCATCCATGCAGTGAGGTGTCCACAAGGTCGATTGTGAGCCTCGGTTGGAGGAAGACCCAGCAGCCTGCCCAGTGCTTGGGACTTTCAGTTCATGAGCACTACCTACGTGGAAAAGGTGAGTAATAGGACAAGCATATAGCAAGGAAGACATTTCTTTCTGGGATCACAGAATCTCTCAAGACTCAGGGAACTTGGGTTAAGAAAAACAATTGACAAAATTAGCAAGGATGATTTACATCTTTCTGGGATCAAAGAATCACTCAAGAAACTCAGGTTAGAAAGAATCAAACAAAAAGTTCTTCCTCTTTATTGGGGATCTTTGTCCATGGTTCCCCCAGGAAGGAACCATTAATGAAAAGAAATGGGCTAGTGTTGGCAACTGCCTCCAAGAGTTGATTATCTGACAACATGGTAGACCAGATGGGTTCATAAGACATGAAGTGCAGCAGTACAGTGTGGGATGGGGCCAGGTTAGGGAAGGGTCATTAGTGAGAAGCCCATGTTAGGTTGGTTAGAAAAGTAAAAGAAAAAAGCTTCACATGATCTTTTTAATGCTATTATGTTTGAAACTGCCAGTGCTTCTTGTTTCTGCACATGGCTTATGGATCCATGGCGAGTTTGTCCACTATGACAGTGGCCAATGGTGGGGGAGAGTTCAACATTCTCCTTGTCGATTCCTGGGGAATGCTGGGAAGTTGCAAGTGAGGTCATGGAATTAGGGAGGTTAAGATTGACTATGATACTAAGCTGGCTCTGCAATGCAGGAGAGTAAGAAGATGTGGATCTCAAGACAGATTCCTATTATGAGACTTTTGGTCCTGAAAAAATCCCTGTCCAAATTGCCGCTCTTGGCGTTTCCACTTTTGCTTTTTGCATGAGCCAGAAATGTTTTCAGTAGTTTCTTTTCTTCTCTTTTTCCAAAAGGAATGGTGATGTAAAAAATCTAATATAATACTTAGGAGTAGAGTATACATGGGGGCTGTAAGTGAGACCTGGCAAAGAATTGAGCTGTGTAGCTAATACCTCTGATCTGTAGTTATGTGCAGAGGCCTTTCTGAAAGCTGTCTGAAGGTTTTCCTGTCTTCTCATTCTTCTCACTTAACCATTCATTGACCAAGTGCTTCTTTGTTTTGGGGTACTTTGTGGGACATTTATTAAGTGCTGGAATTTCCACTTCAGTAGTTATTTCTGCTGCTGCAGTTTCAGTGTCTGGTTCTACAGCAAGTACAGTGTTTTCAATTTCATTATGTTGTGACATAACTTCAATGTCAGGAGAAGATGGCTGTATGTCTGAACACATACTGACAGTCCTGTGTCTCTGACTGTGCTGTCCAATGTCCCGATCAACCCATTCTACCTGTCCCCTGAAAATTACCTCACTGACACCAACTCAACAATTGGCTTGGCTGGCTTCGCTTGTATGGGAAAATAACCCCCTGTTATTCCTTTTTGCTTCCTTCTACCCATTCCTACTATTTCCCCATGGTTAACCACCCTCCTACCTTCCCTCCTTGGACCCCTGATAGGGCTCCTCTTATTATTTTCCTTCGGTCCTTGAGCCTTTAATCAACTTGTGGCCTTTGTCAAGCAACAAGTGGACTCTGCCACTAAGCCTGTCCTGGTCCAGTACTAACCCACTTCCCCACGGCCAGCTTCAGAGGTGCAGACCTGGATGGTACTGCAAGGAGATCTCGTCTTCTGAGGAATATGCCTGCGCGCAATGGGGTCAATGCCCTAAAGCTTCCCCACCCCCACAAAAGGCATCCGGACAGTCCTGCCTTTCAGATGGCTCCAAGAAGCTGTCCCTGAGGTCAGAGAAAAATGTCCTTTATAAAATCTACATAAATTCTCCAACTGGGGGCCAGGCCTCTATCCCCCTCTGCTGAAAAATTTGGCTACTTCTTTTTATACAAGGAAAGGGGAAGTTCTATATCTGTTCCCTATTCCAGCATCACACTTTTTTGATTGCTACCATCAATCTGTCCTCTCTCTGGGCAGTGTTGGTTATTTCCGATCTCCTGATCCCACATGTGAATTTTAGCATCAGTGTCCACTTTTGCAAGGGAGTCTACTGGAACCTTAGCATGTATCATACTGAACCTATTCATAAAAATTAGCCAGGCATTATTGACATTCTGACAAATTAAGTCTACCAAGGTGTTATTCCCTTTATTTAGGTTCTATAACAATCAGACTTTTGGGTTTCAGTATTAAGATTTTATGCTTTTTCTGGTTAACTTTATTTCTAATTATTCTACTGTTTGATCCTAGTAATGGATCAAAATGGAATGGTTTACTCATTGTACTTTTAAATTGTTCACTGCTAGTATACAGAAATACAACTGAATTTGGTATAGATGATGGCAGAAGAGAAAACTGACTCCTTCAAGTTGCCCTCTGACCTCCACAGGAACACATATACATACACACATGCACACACATAACAGGTGTAAAAGATAAATAAATAAAATAAAACTAAGTCTTAATGAAAACTAGAGATGATATTAATAAGACTTTGACTTGGATGTGACAGCTTTGGGAAACAGATTCCAATGATGCTTCCTTGTGGGTTGGTTGGTCATGCTCATATAATATCAATATCCATTTTGTTGGCTCAAAACCTAAACTAACAATTGAACTTCACTTAACTTGAATATTTGTAAAATGAGTCCTGAGATCCAGGTTATATAATATCAACCTTAATGTGAGCTAACAAAGTCTAAAGTCAGTGTTTGCATATTAACTGGTCCTACCGTGGCAAGAATAGGCTAGGAGATGAAAAAGAAGATATGGAAGAGATATTCTACAAGCCCACTCCTCTGTGCTTGTGCAATTCTGTCCAAGAAAGAATAACTTTTAAGGCCTTTATGTAATGGCATATTAATCTGCAGGCCCTCTTTCAGAAGAATGAATTATGCCAGTACAAGAGTAGAGCCAGAACTAGTGATAAGCAATCCACCCATTCAGCATGTACTCCAACAGGGGCAATGATCCTTTGGTACAGTAACAATTTATTCTTTAAGTTATAATATTTCACATTATAATATTAATTGTGATCTCTTTATTAGAAAAAATAATTTTATTTTCTTCCTGTTTTATAATCATTCAGCTATAAATATGATTGGGTATACATAATCAGGAAGTGACTTGTAGTGCTGGAAGGACATCTGTACTGGCTCACACACAGTGAGTGTATCTTCATCACTGTGTATGACACAGGCTTACCCACTTACTGCTTCTGTTCTATCAACTAAGCTATCTGTCTAGGACAAATGGCCATTCCACAAACATCACACAAGACAATAAACATGAAGGGATGGCCCTGCAGGAGGTACTATTACTCCAGGGATGACACCTACAGGAAAAGGAGATCTGGTGACTTTTACTCTTAGAAATCTTCAACAAAGGACACTAAACTGCTCCCGAAGAACATACACAAAGGTTTCTGGAGCAGGCATTGCAGCAGAGACCTTCCAGGACAGATCCTCTGACGAAGTTATTAGACTTGGTAGCTCATCGCAGTTACACACAGAGACCCTCTCCAGGAAAGAAGAGCCCATGTGTGTTCAGAGAGGCAGCAAGAGAGACCGCTACTACACAGTGTTGGCAAGAAAGAAACAATGAGCCCTAGCAGAAGGATAATGCCAGCTTTAAGTAAAAAAGACAACAAAATGGGGTCAAGATTGTGCTTCATATCCTATGTTAAGATGGAGCACAGCATGAAGTAGCCACTTCTAAAACGTCTACTGAACAAATGAATGATTCACTTCCTGCCTGCCTGCCTGCCTTTCTGCCCTTCATTATTCCTCCAGGGTCAAGCAACCACCCAACCCTGCTCTCTTTTCTTCCCCAGGACCTGCAAAGCCTAACGGGTCCAGAAATTCTTTGACCAAGGTTTTTAAAAAGTTCCTGAAACCCATATTATCTAGTCAAGGAAAAGAGAGTCAACCCAGCCCTCATCCCTTCTAAGAGTTTTAAAGTCCCAAGGGCAAGTCTACATATACTGTCAAACTGAAAAAGAATCATTATTTCCACAGGAGAAAGGGTCACACTTTTCAACTAAAAAATTAACATAACCCTAGCCAGAGGATTTGAGAAATGAGTAAATATACTCTTCTATAAAAATTCGGGAGGGGCTGAGAAAACTGAGTTTGATTTCAAAGACCACTTGCTTGCGATCCTAATGCTAGGAAGGTAAGGACAGGCAAGTCCTGGCCTCCCTGGGCAGTCAGTCACCTAGCCCACTTGGCAAGCTTCAAGCCAATCATCAGGCACTATGTCTCAAAGAACAAGGTAGACAGCTCCTGAGGAACACTACTGCCAATTGTGCAAACACACACACACACACACACACACACACACACACACACACACACAAGCCCCTTCTCTGTAATCTATACTTTTTTTTTTTCTCGAGACATTGTTCTCACCACAACATGAGAAACTGGTCTCTCAGAGATCCACTGCCTCTGCTTCCCGAGTGCTAGAATTAAAGTCATGCGCACCACTGTCCGGCCACACACAAGTTTTTAAAAAACGAAAAATAAATTTCAATTCCCACCTCTTTTTACCCCTTCTACAGACCTTGTCATCCCCCAAATGAAAAAACCCTGACTGAATTCAGTTGTCAGTCTCTTACCCTGAGAGGAAAGCTAAGGAGTAGGAGCTGTTCTTGGAAACAAAGGCTGAGCGATGTGTCTGTATCATTTGGCCCCGAGAGGGTTCTTCATTCTCTGAATCTGAGAGACGTGCAGGACACTGGCAAGGAGACAAGGGAGATAAGATTGGGGTTCTCATCAGATCTATCATAGCTATAGTTTCAAAGTTCAGTCTCTAAGTCTCTTCTGAGTTCTAATTTGATTACAAATGCTTTCTGAAAATACTAATTGCAACTGTGGCTTTAACTGAAAATATCCCAAATCAAATTAATCCATTATCAAACTGTATATGATATTTTCTTCCAACTCTGGGAGAGAGGTGACAGACTCAACACAAGGTAAACAATGGCAACCTCTATGTATTTGGTCTCTTTTCGTAACCAATCCAGTACCAAGTAAAAGACTCTTCAGATCCCATCTCTATCCGAGTCACTCTATGTTCAGTGATTCATCTTTTAGTCTGTTTTTGCTGTCTCTACATCAGTGGTTCTCAACCTGTGGATCATAACCCCCTCCACAGACCTGTCTCCAAAACAGTTATGTTATGGTTCATAACAGTAGCAAAATTATAGGTATGAAGTAGCAACAGGAATAATCCTATGGTTTGGGGTCACCACAACATGAGAAACTGTATTAAAGGGTCTGGCATCAAGAAGGTTGAGAATCACTGCTCTACTGTAGAGATTCTGCTAAGCTGATAGAGTATTAAATAATCCAACAGGTAAGCCAGGCGTTGGTGGCACACGCCTTTAATCCCAGCACTCGGGAGGCAGAGGCAGGAGGATCTCTGTGAGTTCAAGGCCAGCCTGGTCTCCAGAGCGAGTGCCAGGATAGGCTCCAAAGCTACACAGAGAAACCTTGTCTTGAAAAACAAAACAAAACAAAAACAAAAAAAAGCTAACAGGTAAATCGCAAAAAAAAAAAA